CAAGAAATTTGGAAGACAACTATCTGGTCGACTGATTGGAAGAGATCCATATTTATGCCCATTCCAAAGAGAGGTGACCCAATGGAATGTGGAAATCATCGGACAATCTCTTTGATATCTCAAGTGAGTAAAGTTTTGCTAAAGGTAATATAGAAGCCGTTACAATCATACATTGACAGAGAACTTCCTGAGGTTCAAACTGGATTCAGAAGAGGACGTGGAAACCCTATAGGGGGTCTCTATGAGTTGGAACCTACTCAATCTACTTAACAACAACAACAAACCTTTTCAGGAGAGTTTTTCACTCTTCAATTTACATCAAACTGACAATATTCCTTAAGTTATATTCCTTTTAAATAATGTTTGAGTTTGGGAACAGAAGAAAGGCTGAGGTAAGGTTTCTCAGCAAAATTCGAAGGGCTAGTTCCTGGGGAAGGACATCATGCTAGGCAAAGTGGAAGTTTAGCAAAAAATGAGGGAAAGACTTAAAGAAATAGACTGGCATAGTAATGAACAATGGGCTCAAGCATAACAACAGTTGTGAGGAGGCCACAGGAGCAGACGGTATTTTAATCTATTGTGCATAGGGTCACTGTGAGTCAAAACCAGCCTAACTGCACCTAACAACAACAACAACAAATTCATGGATTACTTACTAGCGTTTTTCTAAACTTGTTTAGAGGCATTGTTTCTAAACTTGAAAAATATCCATCCACAATGGATTGGACAAATTATTCATATATTTATTCATTCAATCATCAAATAATTCTGACAGCCAGCTACTATTAATATTTGGCATATGTTTTTCTTGACATTTTTTTCTATTTTTACTACATATATATATAGATACAGAGTCCTGATATGGCTGTGGGTTAGTGCGCCAGACTACAAAGCCATTTGAACTGCAAAGTTGGCAGTTCAAGCTCACCCGATGCTCCTTGGAAACCCTATACAGGGTCACTATGGATCAGAAATGACTCGATGGAACTTAACAACAACAACATGCATAGATACAAGCTGAATGAATGAATGCGTAGAGATAGACTGATTTCATCATAAGAAGGGGTTGTTGCTGTAAGTATCTCCAACCCTGAGGTATATATGGTTGTGCTTTGGGGAACAGCAGTAAAGAAGGGAATGAGGATCAAGAAAGTTCTAAATTGTGAGGTAGATGTTGTGTGGTTCTTCTATGACAGGTCAAGAACCTGGGTCAGCAAAGGCAGTAGTGGACCAGCATCAAGAGATGAAGAGATACTATATAGTCCAATCCTATCCCAGTTTATTCTGAGATTATTTTGAGAGGTTGGTAATGGGGAGAGAGAGGGAAAATACCCCAGGAGGGAGATGCTGGAGTTTTTATTAATAGGGCATTTGGCACTCTAATAATTCATTGAAAAAATAATACAAATGTGACTGTTTATATATCCCTGTAGATCATGCCTGCTAGAGGACACTCTGGGACCTTGCTTAATTGGTATTTTCCAAAGCCACATTCTTTTAAGACTCATCATACTAAAGCCAAGAACTCTGCACCTGCTATCAACCGGAAAGACTTATGACCCAATCGTAAAGTTGCCTCTACTTCAAAATGACCTACTTTTCCATAAGTAATAACTTTCCAGAATGTATTCTCTTTTTTTCTCCCAACATGCTCAAAGGGTCTATACAAAGAGATTGTTATTTTCTCTTACTCACTTCAACAGTTTAGTTTGCTTGCAAGTAAAATGCTTGTGAAAATTCTTATAACTCAACTCCAGAATCTATCATTTAACAGTGCCTTGAGCTGTGCCTTTACTTGACAGCCATGTACCGTGTAGGTCTCTCAGAATGTCTCACAGAGAGAGGCTTTTGAAGACCACTTTAGCTCTGTAGCCTTTGCACATGCAGTCATCTTCAAACACATCAGCGTATTTCATCTTATTCAAAGCACTTACCATGAGAATTATACTACTTATTATGATTGAATTGTTTCAATCAGAAATCAGGAAACTTTTTCTGTGAAGGACCAGATAGCATGTGGTCTCTGTCACATCTGCTCAACTCTGCTCATATAGCACAAAAACAGACATCAACAATGCCTACAATGAATGAGCAGAGTCATGCTCCAATAAAACTTCATTTGCAATGAAATTTAAATATGCAATTTTGCATCACAAAACAGTCTTCTTCTTTTGATCTTTTCCCAACCATTTAAAAATATAAAAACCATTCTTTGCCCTTAGATACATATACTAAGATGAGGGCTTGGATTTGGTTGGCCAGCCATAGTTTGTTGACTTCTGATTAAAGGTTTGTTTTCTGTTCCCCTTCTCATCTCTTCCCGCCAGCTCCAAGAGGATGGAGCTTTTTCTGTCATCCTACCACTGTTGTTCATTGTTGTTGAGTCAATTCTGACTCCTGGTGACCCAATGTGTGCAGAATAAGACTGTTGAAAATGACTGTGGTCTGTCATAAGAAGACAGGTCTCCAGAGGGGTGTTAACTGAAAACCCTTTGGTATCCCCCAGGGGCTTCTTCAATTAAAAACTTCCAGCAGAAGTTAATTTTAAGTATTTGTTGAGTTTTCCACACTTAGCTTGTGTAAGTGTGCTGCATACAACAGACTTTCAAATACAGTGTATTATGAGCTGTACTCTCAGGAACAAGAGCTCACTAAAAAGCAACTAAGCAAAATGGAATGAACAACCTGTGCATCCTTACATGGTGGTCCTGGACATATTATTACACATTCTTTTGACCCATTTGGGTCTTTTTCTCTTTCAATCAGCATGCACGATGCCAATCCCATAACCTCAACTCTGTTGTTACTGTTACGTGCCATGGAGTTGGTTTCAATTCAAAGTGGTACTCTACAGGGTTTTCTGAGGCTTTAAATCTTTTGTAGGAAAACCCCCCTCCAACACTGAAACTCAAAGGGAACACATGAACAGGCAGGTAAGCTTGCTGGCAACCATATTGGTCTACTGGTGAGTGGAAGAGGGGGAAAGGCAACAATAAAGAAATGGGCTGTGTACAACCACATTCCATAGACTCCTGTTGACCTGGAGATGAGAGGGAGAAGAGGAAGGGCTGGTTAGTCCAAAGTGTGGTGAGACCTGGGGATTCCTGAGCCCAATGGACAAGGACATAGCCACAGAGGGCTAGAGCTGAGAGTGAAGCATTCAGCTGATAGGAAGTGAAGGGAGACTCACAAGAACACCCAAATATGTAGATAATACTCATTTGACCTAGCCTTGATGGTGTGACAATCAGAACTTGAGTAGAGGAAGGTATTAAAAAAATTTTTTTTGATAAAGGAAATGAGGGAAAATTGTTATAATTTGACCTATTCTCATGGATATAGTAGCTGAAAATATCAACAGAGAGAGAAGCAGTCTTCATATCAAGTATCATTGTTATCCCCTTTGTACACAGGCAGGGCAACTTAAACACTGGCTACCTAAAATGAGGGAGTGATAAAGGCATGAAGTGACTGGCTTACAAGTTTTCAAGATGGAGGGAGTTTAGTTTGAGAGTGTGTGGGGGAAGACAGAGTCCTCACTGAGTAGTTTTCATCCTGTCTAGATGGGTCTGGTGAAAAGAGATGGGGATAAGATTCGTAAGATTCAATGGTGAATAATTGTTATCATGACTAATTTTGACTGTCACAACTATAAAGGTAGACGTTTTGTAACAAAAAGGGGGGAGTGGTTAATCTTAGTCTAGAAACAGAGGACCCTAGGACCATCAAGAGAGAAGAGCACAAGCAGAATGCAAGACCCTAACCAGAGAAAAAGGACACCGGAGATGGAGACAGAGATGAGAACATGCAGAAAGGGAGCAGCTGAGGACTCTAGATTCATGGACTCATGGAAAGAGATGGACTGAGTGTTGGTGGCCAGGAGGCAGGCTTGCAGAATGTGCCCTTTGGTTGTTTAAATTATTTATATGCCTGACTGTTTTTGTGTATGTCTCTCCAACCCCCAACCTCCCCACACCCCAAAAAAAGAAAAACAGAGGTAATGGAAGCAAATATTGTTGAATGATGATGCACAGAGGAGATTGTAATCATTGCAATGAAACAATGGTGTAAAGTTGATGTTCTCCCATGTAAACTATCACTCAGTTCAAAATATTAAAATAATAATATTAATAATAATAATAATAATAAATCTTTTGCAGGTGCTTAAACTTTATCTTTCTCCTACGGAGCTCAAACTGTTTAACTGGTGGTTTGAAGTTCAGTGCTTATCCTATGGATCTCCTGTGCTCCGTCAACTCCGTCGATAGCCGTGATTGTGTGCCACTGAGCTGATTGTGATTCGTGGTGATGCTATACAAAGTTTCCAATGATAGAAATCTTTACAGGAGCAGAAAGGCTCATCTTTTCCCCATGGAGTGAATGGTAGCTTAGAACTGCTGACTCTGTGATTAGCAGTCCAGCTCATAATCCACTACGGTACTAGGGATCCTTCAAATCTATAGTTGTTGTTGTTGTTAAGTGCCATCGAGTTGGTTCCGACCCATAGCCACCCTGTATAGGGTTTCCAAGGAGTGACTGGTGAGCTTGAACCACCGACCTTGTAGTTCAAATGGCTTTGTAGTCTGGTGCGTTAACCCACAGCGCCACACCAGGACTCCTCAAATCTATAGAGGTAATCATAATTTCTTAAATGCCATTTTAACTTCCTTTCATATATTCTTTTACTAATATAGCTGTATTCATCTAGTATACTTCTGTTTCTAGTTGTTATAAGCAATCATTGTCTATGTGACCCTGTTGAAACAACTCAGTTTAGAAAAACTAAATCCACCAAGAAAAAGTAAACACAGATTTCTTTAGTAACTCCCAATTCTCCAAGATCTTTAGAAGCCATACTTACATAAGGTTTCAGAGCCACTGCCATGTGTATACTTGATGTTTTTATTAATGCTCTCAATAGCATCAACAGCTTCACTGGCCACTAGAGACTAGAAGCAATAGGACATGGGACTTCAGTTAATAGGCAGTTTTGAAATTGGACAGTAAATGTTTCTACAAGATAATAAGACATTAATTGAATCAAACAGTATACATACAAAAACTGGATTTATCCCAAAGGTAAATGAAGAAAAAAAATTAACCCAAACTATTATTTTTTATTTTCCCAGAAATCAAAATTGGATGGCTTTAAACATTAACTGTTCCAATGCACTGAAGATTTTATTTAATTTGCAGGGGTGGGGGAGCGGGGGGATCTCACGCACACCTTTATTATTATTATTATTGTGAATTGAGTGACAGTTTACATGGGAAAACATTGGTTTTACACTCATTATTTCATTGCAATGATACAATCCCTTCTGTGTATCATCATCGGCAGTATTTGCTTCTATGCCCTTGCTTTTTTGCGGGGGGAGAGGAGGGGTATGTACACAAAAACACTCAGGCATATATAATAATTTAAACAACCAAAGGGCAAGTACTGCAAGCCTGCTTCTTGGCCACCAGCATTCAGTCCCTCCCTTTCCATGAGTCGAGAGTTCTTAGCTGCTCCCTCTCTCCATGTCCTTATCTCTGCCTCCATCTCTGGTGTCACTGCTTCTTTGGATAGGGTCCTGCATTCTGCTTGTGTTCTTCTCCCTTGATGGTCCTAGGGGCCTCTATTTCTGGACTGTTAAGGTTAACTACTCCTCACTTTTTGTTACAAAACTCCTACATTTACAGTTTCATACATGCCTTTTCAGGAATTCATTTATTACATAAATTGCAACACAGCTATGTGTCAAAGGTAAATGATTAGGAGTTGTTTTATCCTAGACAAAATTATCACCAAACTTTAAATCCAACTTCTATAGAGAATATCTATTTACCTCATACATCCACCACTTTCCTATCAGTGTGTCATACTGTGGCAGCTTGTGTGTTACTGTGAAGTTATGCCACCAGTATTTTAAATACCAGTGGGGTCACACATGGTGGACAGGTTTCAACAGAGCTTCCAGACTAAGACAGACTAGGAAGAAGGAGAGTTGGACTGCTTCCGAATGTTTAACCACTCAAAACCTTATGAATAGCAGCATAACATTGTCAAATATAATCCCAGGAAACACACTCCTCAGGTTGGAAGGCACTCAAAATACAACCGGGGAAGAGCTATCTCCTTGAAATTGAGTTGACTTTAATGATGTAGATGGAGTTCAGCTTTTGGGACCTTCATCTGTTGAAGCAGGATAACTCAAAATGAGAAGAAGCATATGCAAACATTCATTGATAATCAGAACATGGAATATATGAAGTACGAATCTAGGAAAATTAGAAGTCATCAAAAATGAAAAGAACACATAAAGATTGATATCCTTGGCATTAGTGAATTGAAATGAACTGATATTGGCCATTTTGAATCAGATAATCATATGATTTGCTATGCTGGGAAAAACAAATTGAAAATGTAGTCAAATTCTTCATCAAGAAGGATATTTCAAGATATCTCTAGAAATGCAATGCTGTCTGTGACAGGACACTATCCATATACCTACAGGAAGACCAGTTAATAGCATTAATACTCAAATTTATGTAGCAACTACTAATAGAGTTATGATAAAATTGAAGAACTCTATTAACTTCTTCAGGCTGAAATTGATCAAATATGCAATCAAGATGCATTGATAATCACTGGTGATTAGAATGTGAAAGTTGGAAACAAAGAAGAAGGATCAGTAGTTGGAAAATACAGCCTTGGTGATAGAAATGATGCTGGA